ATATATATTCTGCCATACTCACATGAACAGTCTGGTCTGTCTGGAGAGTAGGCTGGCTCCCAGATGCCGTTGTAGGCACAGAAGTAGCTGTGGACAGCATCCTGAGTGAGGCTATAGCCGTCTTTACAGTGGAGAGTACAGTTGACTCCTTCCTCCTCTTCAGAACAGACGAACTCTCCATTCACTGGGACGTACGGCTGGTCACACGTTGTCCCTGAGCAAATACACATAAAGCACTTCCATGGTTTTCTCAAGTTGGAGCTCAGTGTCTGATTACTAGCATGCATGACTGCACAATGAAACTGAAAAATTCAGGCACTGCAAAAGGACACTGACACTGGTGTTTTGTTTTATTTACTGTGTATTTCATTCTCATCACACAAGATAAAAGAAAAAAGAGAAAGGGTTCCTTGGGGTGCAGGTACGTCACTGAGATGCAGGGGTGCTCTTATACCTTGGACAGTTACTGTGAGGTTGCATGTGCGGCTGTTTCCTGCTGCATCAGTAGCGGTGTACTGCACCACAGTCTCTCCTACTGGAAACAGAGAGCCTGGACTGTGGGGACTGGTTACTGTGAGGCGACCGCCTGAAAGACAGACAGAGAGACGATTATTTCATTTCTGCTGACCCTTCCTGGTGATCTTGTTGTGAAAAAGCATAATCATATGGGCTGTACAAAGAAGTAGGATTAGGTGGGTTAAAGCTACTAATGTGTGGTCAAGTAGCAAAAATGACATTTTGTGCATCCTGTGAGTGTGAGACAGAAACTGCTGTTTTAAGAAAATGTGCCAGCTACCCAACTATTCATCAGTAAACTATAAACTAATACAAAAATAACATTTCTGTATCTGCATTTTTATGCTTGAATGATTCTCAGGTCAGGGTCAAGTGGCTTCAATATCAAAAATCTGAATTTTTTTGCTACAATGTCCGGGCTGAAAATTAGTGGAAAGCAGCCAATGTTCAAAGATCAAGAATGGTCAAAAAAAATTAAAGTTACAGACTTGTGCACATTACTGCACATTAGGAAGAAGTCAATGTAAAATAACAGTTTGATGTGAGGGTTTTACATGGAGCATCTTTTGGGGCTT